TCCCAGGTAGTCCTATGATCCTTCCTCTCGACTCATTCTCCTCCTGTACTGTGATCCCCCCTCCTCTACCATTGCTCCCAGTAGTCTATGATTCTCCTCTCTACTCTAACCTTCTGCTCCAGTAGTCTTTGATCCTCCTCTCTACCATTATCCAGTCTGTCTATGATCCCCTCTCTACCATTCTCCAGTAGTCTGGATCCTCCTCTCTACTATTCTCCCCGTAGTCTGTGATCCTCCTTTCTACTCATTCTCCAGTAGTCTATGATCCTCCTCTCTAAGTACCATTCTCCAGTAAGTCTATGACCTCCTCTCTAACCATCTCCTTAAGTCTGATCCCCTCTCTAACCTTTCTCCAGTTGGTCTATGAATCCTCCTCTCTAAATCTAGACTATAACCATTCTCCAGTAGTCTGTATCCTCCTTTCTAACCATTCTCCAGTGTCTGTGATCCTCCCTCAACCATTCTCCAGTAGTCCCCTGTGATCCTCCTCTCTAACCATTCTCCAGTAAGTCTATGAATCCTCCTCTCTAACTATTCTCCATATCTATGAGCCTCCTCTCTACCATCTCCAGAGTCTAGAGTCTTCCTCTCTACCATTCTCCAGTAGTCTATGGATCCTCCTTTGCGACCATTCTCCATAGTCTATGATCCTCCTCTTGACCATTCTCCAGTAAGTCTATGATCCTCCTCTCTAATAACCATTCTCCATTAGTCTGTGATCCTCCTCTCACTCTACATTCTCCATTAGTCTGTGATCCTCCTCTTACCATCTCCATAGTCTTATGATGCCTCCTCTCTACCATTCTCCATTAGTCGATGATCCTCCCCTCTAAATTCTCCAGTAGTCTGTGGATCCTCTCCTCTCTACCATTCCCTAGTAGTCTGTATCCTCCCTCTAGCCATTCTCCAGTAGCTGTGAACCTCCTCTCTACTACTTCTACCATTCCTGTAGTCCTGAACCTCTCCCCTTTACCATTCTCCAGTAGGCTATGATCCTCCTCGCTAAAACTAACTACCATTCTCCAGTAGTCTGTGATCCTCCCCCATTCTCCATAAGTTCTGTGATCCTCCGCTCTCAGCCATTCTCTAGTAGTCTGTGATCTCTCATCCTCTCTACCATTCTCTAGTAAATCTATGATCCGCATCTCTACCATTCTCCATAGTCGATGATCCTCCTCCTACCATTCTCCAGTAGTCTATGATCCTCCTCTCTACCATGCTCAGTAAGTCTATATGATCCTCCTCCTCTCTACCATCTCCAGTAGGCCTGTCTGGTGATCCCTCCTCTCTACCATTCTCCAGTATCTGTGATCCTCCTCTCTACTCTACCATCTCCATAGTCTGTGATCCTCTCCCTCTCTACCATTCTCTAGTAGTCTGTGATCCTCCTCTCTACTATACCATTCTTTCTCCCAGTAGTCTGTGATCCTCCTCTCTACCATGCTCCAGTAGTCTATGATCCTCCTCTCTAACCATTCTCTAGTACGTATATGATCCTCTCCTCTCTACCTCTCTAGTAGTTTATGATCCTGCCCTCTCTAACCATTTCTCGTAGTCTGTGATCCTCCCTCTCTACCATTCTCCAGTAGTCCCTGTGATCCCTCCTCCTACCATTCTCTCTAGTAGTCCTATGATCCTCCTCCTCTCTACCATTCTCCATAGTCGTGATCTCTCCTCTCTACCATTCTCCAGTAGTCTGTGACCTCCTCTCTACCATTTCTCACATTAGTCTGGTGACCTCTCCTCTCTTACCATTCTGCTAGTAGCTGTGATCCCCTCTCTAACCATTCTCCCGTATCTGTGATCCTCCTCGTCTAACCAGTCTCTAGTAGTCTGTGATCCTCTCCTCTCTAACAATTCTCCCAGTAGTCCCTATGATCCTCCTCTCTAGACCAATTCAGCCAGTAGTCTATGAATCCGCCTCTCTACCATTTTCTCTAGTATTCTATATCCTCGTCCTCCGTCTCCTCTCTACCATTCTCCAGTAAGTCGTGATTCCCTCTCCTCTCGACCATTCGCTCTCCATAGTCCCTGTGTCCTCCCTCTCTAAACCATTTCTCCAGTAGTCTGTGATCCTCGTCCCTCTCCTACCATTCTCTAGAGTCTTGATCCTCCTCTCTACCATTCTCCAAGTAGTCTGTTATCCTCTCCTCTCTACCATTCCCAGTAGTCGTGTGATCCTCTCCTCTCATACCATTCGCCAGTAGTCTATGATGGATCCTCCTCTCTTACCATTCTCCTGTAGTCTGTGATCCTCCTCCCTCCTAACATTCTACAGTTGTCTATATCCTCCTCTTCTACCATTCTCCAGTAGTTTTTTTGATCCTACCTTTTCTACCATGCTCCAGGTAGCTGTGACCTCCTCTCTACATTCTCCGTTATCTAATGATCCTCCGCTCTAACCATTCTCTCCAGTAGATCTAGCATGATCCTTCTCAGTCCTCTCTACCATTCTCCAGTAGTCCTGTGATCCTCCTTTCTACCATTCTCCAGTAAGTCCTTATAATCCCTCCCTCAACCATCCTCCAGTAGTCTATATCATCCTCTCTACCATTCTCCAGTAGTCCTGTGATCTCCTCTCTAAACTCTACCGATTCGCCTATATCTGTGAACCTCCTCTCGCCATTCTCCAGTAGTCTATGAATTCCTCTCACTTTACCATTCTCCAGTTCCTAATGATCCCCTCCTCTCTAAACCATTCTCCAGTATCTGGTGATCCTCCTCTCTCTACCATTCCCAGTAGTCTATGATCCTCCTCTCTACCATTTTCCAGTATCTGTGAGCCTCCTCTCTACCATTCTCCCGTATCTATATCCTCCTCTCTACCATTATCCTAGTCCTGTTGATCCTCCCTCTCCTATCCATTGCCTCCATAGTCTTGATCCTCTCCTCTCTACCATTCCTCCAGTAGTCTAATGATCCTCCTCTCCTACCATCTCCAGAGTCTGTGGATTCCTCACTCCGCTTCCTCTCTAAAACCTTTCCCTCCAGTAGTCCTTGATCCTCCCTCTAACCATTCTATCTAATCGACAGTTTGTCTATGATCCTCCTCTCTACCATTCTCCAGTAGTCCTGTGATTCCTCCTCTCTAACCATTCTCCAGTGAGTCTATGATCCTCCTCTCTACCATTCGTCCCAGTAGTCTGATCCTCCTCCTCTAACCATTCTCCAGTATCTATGCTCTTCCTCTCTTCTCTACCATTCTCAGAGTCTGTGGATCCTCCCTCTCTACCATTATCCATTAGTTATGATCCTCCTCTCTACCCATTCTCCATTAGTCTGTGGATCCTCCTCTCTACTATTCTGCCAGTAAGTCTGTGAATCCTCCTTTCTACCATTCTCATTAGTCTATGATCCTCCGCTCTACCATTCTCCGTAGTCTATGACCTCCTCTCTACCATTCTCCAGTAGTCTAGATCCTCCCTCTCTACAGTCTCCAGTTGTCTATGATCCCTCCTCTCTACCATTCTACCAGTAGTCTGTGATCCTCCTTTCTTTCTACCATTCCTCCAGTAGTCTGTGATCCCCTCTCTACCATTCTCCAGTAGTCTGTTGATCCCCTCTCTAACCATTCCTCCTTAGTCTTATGATCCTCCCTCTCTACTATTCTCCATAGTCTATGATCCCCTCTCTAACCATTCTCCAGAGTCTATGATCTTCCTCTCTACCATTCTCCTAGTCTATGATCCTCCTTTCTAACCATTCCTCCTCCAGTAGTCTATGAATCCTCGCTCTACCATTCTCTCTCCCAGTCGTCTATGATCCTCCTCTCTAAAAACCATCTCCATTAGTCTGTGATTCCTCCTCTCTACCATTCTCCAGTAGTCTGTGGATCCTCCTCTCTACCATTCTCTCCAGTATCCTAGGATCCCCTCTCTCCATTCTCCTAGTCTATGATCCCCCCTCTAAACATTCTCCTAGTCCTGTGACCCTCTCCTCTCTAAACCATTCCCTAGTAGTCTGTGATCCTCCTCTCTAACCATTCTCCAGTAGTCTTTTGGGGTGAACCTCCTCTCTAACCATTCCTAGTTAAGTCTCTGAATCCTCTCCACTTTACCATTCTCCAGTAGTCTAGGAATCCTTCCTCTCTACCATTCTCCAGTAGTCTGTGATCCTCTCTAACCATTCTCCAGTGTCTGGTGATCCTACCTCCTCTTCTACGGCCTACCATTCCTCCAGTAGTCTGTGATCCTCCTCTCTACCATTCTCCTCCAGTAGTCTGTTGATCCTCTCCCGCTCTAATTCCTTCTCTACCATCCCAGTAGTCTGTGATCCCCTCCTACCATTCTCCTAGTTTCTTGATTCCTCCTCTCTAAAACCATCCTCCGTAGTCTAGATCCTCTCCTCTCACCCTTCTCCAGTAGTCCCTGTGATCCTCCTCTCTACTACTACCATTCTGCCATAGTCTATGATCTGCTCTCGACCATTCTCCATATCTCTTAACCGCCTCTCTACCATTCTCCAGTTAGTGCTGGTGATCCCCTCTCTACCATTCCTCCAGTGTCTGGTGATCCTCCTCGTCTACTCTACTACCCATTCTCCAGTAGTCTGTGATCCCTTCCTCTCTATACCATCTCCCAGTTAGTCTGTGATCCTCCGTTCTAAACCATTCCTCCAGTATTCTTGATCCCTCATCTCTAACCATTCTTTAGTAGTCTGTGATCCTCCTCTCTAACCATTCCCAGTAGTCTTGATCCTCTCCCTCTAAAACATTCTCCAGTAGTCCTGTGATCTCGCCTCTCTGACATTCTCCAGTAGTCTGTGATCCTCCTCTTACCTGCTCTAACCATTTCCCGTAGTATGTGATCCTCTCCTCTCTAACATGTCTCCAGTAGTCCTGTGTCCTCTCCTCTCTACATCTCCATTAGTCCTGTGGTCCTCCTCTCTAACCATTCCTCCATAGTCTGTGATCCCTCCTCTCTTCTAAACCATTCGCCAGTAGTCTTGATCCTCCTCCTCTCACTACCATTCCCCAGTAGTCTGGATCCGCTCCTCTACTACCATGCTCTCCGTAGTCTGTTGAGCCCCCGCTCGACCATTCTCTTCCTCCAGATCTGGATCCTCTTCCCTCTCCATTCTCCAGTAGTCTGTGATCCTCTCCTCTCTACCATTCTCCCCGTATCTGTGCTCCTCCTCTCTACCATCTCCATAGTCTGTGATCCGTCCTCTCTACCATTCTCCCGTAGTCTGTGGATCCTCTCCTCTCTACCATTCTCCAGTATCTTGATTCCTTCTCCTCTATACCATTCTCCAGTAGGTCTGTGATCCTCTCCTCTCTACCATTCTCCAGTGGTGTTTCTCACCTGTTTGTAGTCCTTGTGCAGCTTCTTGTACTGGAACATGTTGCAGAGGACTGTGGATGCTGCTTTGGCTGCTTTCAGCTTTCCAGGGCTACAAGAGAGACACCATAAAGACCAGGTTATGAACTAGCAGTTGGACTAAGATTCGCTCTAATTCCTGGAAAATGTGGGGTTGGTGCAACATAAGCCAAAAGAATGCCATGGTGCCGTTGAGGAACTAGACCAAGAACGTTTTGTATGGAGCACAGCCCTGCATCCCCACCATCACACAATTACTGTTGTTGTTTACGCAATCCAAAAAACGGCCCATTATAAATCGCAATCTGGGTCAGGTGGGCATCATTTGAAAGCATGTTCTATTGCCAACATGACTAGCTAAGTTGTAAAATACGATCTTACAGTGTTAGCCTTCACAAGGCAATTCAGAGAAACAAATCATCATTTTGGTGTGCATAGAAAGGACGAGACCTTGGGACAACAAGGTTTTATATGACATTTTTGTCAAAAATGAGTTAGTCACATATAATTGACCTTTAGTTTGACCTTTCATAAGTCTGTGGAGTTAGATTTCTTTCAAAGTACATTTTAAGTGAAGAAATGTAAAAAACTAGAAAGTCCTTTCTGCGTAAAACCATTTGAACTTGGCACCATATGGTTCCATGTGCAATCCAATCACAAGCCTGAACAAATACAGAAGGACCAATCAGAACGCGTGTCTTTGCCATCTCCCTCTAAGCATGGTCTAGGCTAGTCGAGCCAGCGATAACGACACGCAAGCAAAAAAAAATCAACACTGTCAGAAACCTTAAAGGAAATGATGTCGTCACATCGTTGTTCGGTGATGACAGTAATTAGTCTGATGATCATAATATATTTCTTAAAGTATTTGATGATGTGTTCTGACACTTCCTTGGTAAAATACTGTTATTCTATCATTTATGTATTCAAATAGCTACAGTTTCCTTACAAACTGAACATGTCTAATACAGAACTGCCAGATAGAGCCTAATGGCTGAACCCAGATAAAAAAATGTCAGAGCCATAAGGTTTTATCTGCGATTGCACCCCCCCCCCCCTTAAAAACACAAATTTACAAACGTCTCAGGATTTGTAATACTATAATGGGTTATGAATAGGTTATGAAAGATTAATTCATTACAAAACAGTTCTGAGATCTGAGATGTGAAAACTTTGATGCTCAACATCTCAGAACTATGCTTTGCGCAGAGAGAATCTTATAGTCCCAAGGTCACGAGGAATCATGAGTGCACTCAGGCGCGTGTTCCGCAGCAACTTTTAATCACAATAGACAAACACAGGATCATTCTGTTCAGAACAACCCATGGTGTGACGCCACGCCATCTTGTAACTGTACATCAAACACAAGTGATCATAAACATTGACACTGTATATAACATGAGTTTTATGATTTGGAAATGTGAAGTGCACATTTGGACTCAGGTGTTTGGCTTGGTTGTATGACATCAAAGCGGTATTTATTATAATCCTCAACGTCTCATCTTTCAAAATACATAGTCGTTTTAATTTACGGCATTTCTCTCACTCAGACAACAAAACATTAGCAAAGGTTGCCCAATTAGCAGTGCTGTCAGTCAAAACCCATACAGAGCTGTGAAGAACAGAGCCTGAGATCTGTCAGTCAAAACCCATACAGACCTGTGAAGAACAGAGCCTGAGATCTTTCAGTCAAAACCCATACAGAGCTGTGAAGGACAGAGCCTGAGAACTGTCAGTCAAAACCCATACAGAGCTGTGAAGAACAGAGCCTGAGATCTGTCAGTCAAAACCCATACAGAGCTGTGAAGGACAGAGCCTGAGATCTGGTGGATCTGAGAGTCACCAGCAGCAAGAGCGACATCATTGATATACACAGAGAATAGAGTCGGCCCGAGAATTGAACCCTATGGCACCCCCATAGAGACTGCCAGAGGTCCAGACAACAGGCCCTACGATTTGACACATTGAACTCTATCTGAGAAGTAGTTGGTGAACCAGGCGAGGCAGTCATTTGAGAAACCAAGGCTATTTAGTCTGCCAATAAGAATGCGGTGATTGACAGAGTCAAAAGCCTTGGCCAGGTTGATGAAGACGGCTGCACAGTACTGTCTTTTATCGATCGCGGTTATTATATCGTTTAGGACCTTGAGCGTGGCTGAGGTGCACCCATGACCAGCTCGGAAACCAGATTGCATAGCGGAGAAGGTACGGTGGGATTCGAAATGGTCGGTGATCTGTTTGTTAACTTGGCTTTCGAATACTTTCGAAAGGCAGGACAGGATGGATATAGGTCTGTAACAGTTTGGATCTAGAGTGGCTAATTTTAGAAAGAAAGGGTCCAGATTGTCTAGCCCAGCTGATTTGTAGTGGTCCAGATTTAGCAGCTCTTTCAGGACATCAGCTATCTGAATTTGGGTGAAGGAGAAGCGGGTGGGGGGGGGGGGGGGGGGGTGCAGCGGAGGGTGCAGAGCTGGTGGCCGGGGTAGGGCTAGCCAGGTTGTCACACCCTGGCTCTGGGACTCTATATGTTGAGCCAGGGTGTGTTCATTCTATGTGTTCTATTTCTATGTTGGGGGTTCTAGGTTGTGTATTTCTATGTTGGCCTGAGTGACTCCCAATCAGAGGCAACGAGTGTCAGCTGTTGGCTGGTTGTCTCTGATTGGGAGCCATATTTATACTGTCTGTTTTCCTTTTGTGTTTGTGGGTTCTTGTTCCTTGTCGGTCATTGTCACCGTGGACTTCACGAGTCGTTTATTGTTTTGTGCTTTAATATAATAAAGTAACATGTTCGTTCATCACGCTGCGCATTGGTCTACTTCTCTCCCTGACGATCGTGACAGAAGAACCCACCATAAAAGGACCAAGCAGCGTGTCCAGGAGCAGGCAGACTGGACATGGGAGGAAGCGCCGGGAAAAGAGATGGAGAGGTTGGCGATGGCCCAGGTGGGCAAATCGTGGTCCTGGGAGGACATGCTCGGGGGCAAGGGACCTTGGGCTAGGATTAAGGCCCTGGCGAGAGAGGAGCAGCGGCGTCAGCAGTGCCATCGTCGGACGGACGAGAGGCAACCCCAAAACAATTTTAGGGGGGGGCACACGGCATGGGCGGCTGGGCAGCAGGAGGCTGCCACAGGGCGATTTGGAGAGGAGGCCACCGGGTTAGGGGGGCCAGAAGGCAGGTTGGCGGAGCCTGGATGGAGAGCGGAACCAACTTCCCGTACTCAGGCATGGCAGCATGGGACGGGGCAGGTTCCGCGGTATGCGGAGCGGCGTACTGTGCCACGAGTGGTCCGGCATAGTCCTGTACGTCCTGTGCGAGCACCCCGCACGTGTCGTGCGAAGGGGGGTATGCAGCCAGGACGGAGTGTGCCGGCTCAACGCTCGTGGTCTCCAATGCCTCTCCGCGGTCCCGGATATCCTGCTCCAGTGTCACGTGCTGTTATGCCAGTACGGGTACACAGCCCTGTACATCCTGTGCGGATGCCTCACACAGAGTGTGTGAGGGTAGGCATTCAGCCAGGACGGGTTGTGGCCGCTCTTCACTCCAGGTCTCCTATCCGTCTCCACAGCCCGGTTCGGCCTGTCCCTGCTCCACGCACCAAGCCTACGGTGTGCGTCGCCAGCCCAGTCCGGCCTGTCCCTGCTCCACGCACCAAGCCTACGGTGTGCGTCGCCAGCCCAGCCCGGCCTGTCCCTGCTCCACGCACCAAGCCTACGGGGTGCGTCGCCAGCCCAGCCCGGCCTGTCCCTGCTCCACGCACCAAGCCTACGGTGTGCGTCGCCAGCCCAGTCCGGCCTGTTCCTGCTCCACGCACCAAGCCTACGGTGTGCGTCGCCAGCCCAGCCCGGCCTGTCCCTGCTCCACGCACCAAGCCTACGGGGTGCGTCGCCAGCCCAGCCCGGCCTGTCCCTGCTCCACGCACCAAGTCTACGGTGCGCGTCGCCAGCCCGGCCCGGCCTGTTCCTGCCACTCGCACCAAGCCAGGGGTGCGAGTCGTCAGCCTGGTCCAGAACGTTCCTGCTACTCGCACCAAGCCAGGGGTGCGAGTCGTCAGCCTGGTCCAGCCCGTTCCTGCTACTCGCACCAAGCCAGGGGTGCGAGTCGTCAGTCCGGTGAGGCCCGTTCCGGCTCCACGCACCAAGCCAGGGGTGCGTATCGTCAGCCCGGTCCGGCCCGTTGCTGCTCCACGCACCAAGCCAGGGGTGCGCATCGTCAGCCCGGTCCGGTCCGTTCCGGCCTCACGCACCAAGCCAGGGGTGCGCGTCGTCAGTCCGGCACAACCCGTGCCTGGGTCATCGGTGCCAAATCAGGTACCGCTCAACTGCTCCACAACGGAGCTGAAGCTAGCCGTTCCTGCTACGTTCAGGTCAGCTCCAGCCAGCGGGGCCAGACCGGACCAGGGGCGCTATGGGGGGATTATTGGAGGGTGGTGGGCAAGGCCGGAGCCAGAACCGCCGCCGAGGAGGTATGCCCACCCAGCCCTCCCCTGTTTTGCTCTTATTGAGGCGCGGTCGCAGTCCGCGCCTTTAGGGGGGGGTACTGTCACACCCTGGCTCTGGGACTCTATATGTTGAGCCAGGGTGTGTTCATTCTATGTGTTCTATTTCTATGTTGGGGGTTCTAGGTTGTGTATTTCTATGTTGGCCTGAGTGACTCCCAATCAGAGGCAACGAGTGTCAGCTGTTGGCTGGTTGTCTCTGATTGGGAGCCATATTTATACTGTCTGTTTTCCTTTTGTGTTTGTGGGTTCTTGTTCCTTGTCGGTCATTGTCACCGTGGACTTCACGAGTCGTTTATTGTTTTGTGCTTTAATATAATAAAGTAACATGTTCGTTCATCACGCTGCGCATTGGTCTACTTCTCTCCCTGACGATCGTGACACAGGTGGAAAGCATGGCCAGCCGTAGCAAAATGCTTATTGAAATTCTCGATTATCGTACATTTATCGGTGGTGACAGTGTTTCCTAGCCTCAGTACAGTGGGTAGCTGGGAGGAGGTGCTCTTGTTCTCCATGGACTTTACAGTGTCCCAAAACCTTTTAGAGTTAGTGCTACAGAATGCACATTTCTGTTTGAAAAAGCTAGCCTTTGCTTTCCTAACTGCTTGTGTATATTGGTTCCTGACATCCCTGAAAAGTTGCATATCGCGGGGGCTGTTCGATGCTATTGCAGTACGCCACAGGATGTTTTTGTGCTGGTCAAGGTCAGTCAAGTCTGGGGTGAACCAGGGGCTATATCTGTTCTTAGTTCTGAATTTTTTGAATGGGGCATGCTTATTTAAGATGGAGGGGAAAGCACTTTTGAAGAACATCCAGGCATCCTCTACTGACGGAATGAGGTCAATATCCATCCAGGATACCCGGGCCAGGTGAATTAGAAAGACCTGCTTGCTGAAGTGTTTTAGGGAGCGTTTGACAGTGATGAGGGGTGGTCGTTTGACCGCGGACCCATTACGGACGCAGGCAATAAGGCAGTGATCGCTGAGATCCTGGTTGAAGACAGCGGAGGTGTATTTAGAGGGTAAATTAGTCAGGATGATATCTATGAGGGTGCCCATGTTTACGGATTTAGGGTTGTACCTGGTAGGTTCCTTGATCATTTGTGTGAGATTAAGCATATCCCAGTTTAGGTCACCAAGCAGTACGAACTCTGAGGATAGATGGGGGGTAAGCAATTTACATATGGTGTCCAGGGCACAACTGGGGGCTGAGGGGGGTCTGTAGCAAGCGGCAACAGTGAGAGACTTATTTATGCAAAGGTGGATTTTTAGAAGTAGAAGCTCAAACTGTTTGGGCACAGACCTGGATAGTATGATAGAGCTCTGCAGGCTATCTCTACAGTAGATTGCAACTACGCCCCCTTTGGCAGTTCTATCTAGACGGAAAATGTTGTAGTTCGGGATGGAAATTTCTGAATTTTTGGTGGCCTTCCTAAGCCAAGATTCAGACACTGCTAGAACATCAGGGTTGGCAGAGTGTGCTAACGCAGTGAATAACTCAAACTTGGGGAGGAGGCCTCTGATGTTAACATGCAAGAAACGAAGGCTTTTACGGTTACAGAAGTCAACAAATGATAGCGCCTGGGGGGGTAGGAGTGATACTGGGGGCTACAAGGCCTGTTACGGTCAACCCCGTTACTTTATTTGGCACTTAATAGGCCTTACTATAGTCATTTTTAAATTTATTTTACCTCTTGAGATAGGAAAACTCGTTTTTCATGAAATTGAACATGAGGTGAAATCAAACATTACATTTCTCAAAAGGCACAGAATCTGTGGAACGACCCACCAGCAGAAGCACTGCTACCAATATTCCTTCTCATCCCCGTACCTGCTGTCGTGGGAGTTCTTGATGGCCACCAGTTTTTGCAGCCCGTCAAAGAAAGTGATGTCCCGGGCTGCGACGGAGCTGCAGGTCACCAGGTTGTTCAACGCTCCACAGATGTTGACTACCACGTCGCTGGACGGCTCCTTCTGCTGACCGTCAGCAGGCAGCTTGGCCACCAGGTTGTTCACTGCCTTGTTTGCTAGAGGGTGAAAAAGGGTTGATCTAATTTAATTCATCCCACGTGGCAGTCAAATTCACCCCTGAAATAGATGGGTATGGCTTTGTTAGTCTTCTTGTGTTTGGTCCTTGCTCTAGCGTGAAATAAATGGGTTTTCCTCCATTTGTTAATAACACAAATCTTCATGCACATCTCACATTGACATCCTTGAATTGCTCGCCTTCCTCTTTAAGCTCAATGGAGGATGAGGTCCGAGGCAAGTGGAATCAAGGATTAGTTACTGACCCATGGCATTCTTGTCCTTGGCGTGACGTGACAGGTTTCTGAGGAAGCCGGTGAGGGATCTCAGCTCCTGGTCACGATTGGTCCTCAGTTTGTCCAACATCACAGGAAGCATCCTCTCTTGCTCCAGAGCCACACGACTCAGCACCCCGGCCCACTGAGGAGGGGAAAAAAAGAGCAAGGTCATTCTTGGTCAGTATTTTCTCAAACCTCTTTCATTACTGTACCCTGCAATCCCGTTCTGCTCTGTCTGAAGTACCCCCCCCTTTATATGGAACTGATCATTAGGCCTATTTTCCGATGAGGCAATTACACCCTGTGGAAAGGTAACCCAGAGGGGTTCTAGTACCCCAGCTTGACAACCACTGTCGTAGTTCTATGAATGCTGAATGAGCTATAGAGTTCATTGGTGTGAGTTGGTGCTGCAGTTCTCACTGTCAGGTGTCCAGCCCTCTAAAAAAAGCTTACCCTAGCGCACCTATCAGTGGCCTTGGTTACGGAGGCTTCATGGATAGTCTGAGGAGCCAGTTTATGACCCCCCCCCTAGTCTATCTGGCACCATCAGGGGATGGGTGGTGAGGTGAGATGACCCCCCTAGTCTATCTGGCACCATCAGGGGATGGGTGGTGAGGTGAGATGACCCCCTAGTCTATCTGGCATCGTCAGGGGACGGATGGTGAGGTGAGATGACCCCCTTAGTCTATCTGGCACCGTCAGGGGATGGATGGTGAGGTGAGATGACCCCCTAGTCTATCTGGCACCGTCAGGGGACGGATGGTGAGGTGAGATGACCCCCTAGTCTATCTGGCATCGTCAGGGGACGGATGGTGAGGTGAGATGACCCCCTTAGTCTATCTGGCACCGTCAGGGGATGGATGGTGAGGTGAGATGACCCCCTAGTCTATCTGGCACCGTCAGGGGATGGATGGTGAGGTGAGATGACCCCCTAGTCTATCTGGCACCGTCAGGGGACGGATGGTGAGGTGAGATGACCCCCTAGTCTATCTGGCATCGTCAGGGGACGGATGGTGAGGTGAGATGACCCCCTTAGTCTATCTGGCACCGTCAGGGGATGGGTGGTGAGGTGTGAGATGGCGATGAGAGAGAGGGACAGCACCATTGGCAGTGGGGATGCTCGACACTCACTCTCTTGTCTCCAGCTGTGATGTTCTGCAGGGCCCCGGCTGCAGCCTCGCGGGTGGTGGAGTTAATGTCACAGGCCTGCAGCACGCGGTTATACAGCCCCACCACCTGGGGGTGCCACAGCCACTCCAGACCCTTGGGTACGCGGGCCACCTCCGTGAACGTAACCAGGTCCTGGTTCATCTTCTGCAAAGGGAGAAGGTAATGGGCCAATGTGATGTGGGCTATGTGATACAGGAGTTCCATTTACACATAGACAGGGTCATTCTGAAGACCATTAAGACAATGGTTCAACTGCTAAACTGACAGAAGAAGAAGAAGAAGAAGAAGAAGAAGAAGAAGAAGAAGAAGAAGAAGATTGACACTGTGATACATACATTTTTTACTTTCTTGCTCTGAGGGGTGAAGCAACCAATAGCTTCACTCGTGCTGGTGTCCTGGTCTCTGGTTGGTCCTTCCAGACGTAGCAGGGCCGAGGGCGGGATCTCACTGTACAGCTGATAGGAGAGGTTCCTCAGGACACACACCGAGTTCTCCACTCCCTGGACACACACACACACAAGTTGAGTATGTTTTAATATCAAAGTCAAAGATGTGAGGCTTTCACATGAACAAATGTACCATAGAATGTTGAGTATTTATTGAATTCCCAATGACGACACGTTCGACACTTGATCGGAGAAAACACTGAAGGTGCAGTTACGCATTGTTCTGCAAATACCACACGGCTAAGTAACTCTCCTATCTGTACTCCAGTCCACTATCTGTCCTCCAGTCCACTATCTGTCCTCCAGTCCACTATCTGTCCTCCAGTCCACTATCTGTCCTCCAGTCCACTATCTGTCCTCCAGTCCACTATCTGTCCTCCAGTCCACTATCTGTCCTCCAGTCCACTATCTGTCCTCCAGTCCACTATCTGTCCTCCAGTCCACTATCTGTCCTCCAGTCCACTATCTGTACTCCAGTCAACTATCTGTCCTCCAGTCCACTATCTGTCCTCCAGTCCACTATCTGTACTCCAGTCCACTATCTGTCCTCCAGTCCACTATCTGTCCTCCAGTCCACTATCTGTCCTCCAGTCCACTATCTGTCCTCCAGTCACTATCTGTACTCCAGTCCACTATCTGTCCTCCAGTCCACTATCTGTACTCCAGTCCACTATCTGTCCTCCAGTCCACTTATCTGTCCTCCAGTCCACTACGCCTCAGTCCCACTTTTCCTCCACCTTCCGTCCTCAGTCCAGCTATCTTCTCTCACTACTGTCATCGTCCATACGTTGGTCTCCAGCATCTTCTCGTCATGTCCTCCTCACTTCTACTCAGTCAATTGTTCCACGTCACTACTGTACTCAGCCACTACGCAGCCATCTCATCCAATTTTCCTCACCTTGCCGTCCTGTAGCGAGGCCTGGATGTATCTTACCAGGGCATCGACCAGACCGTTGGTCTCCCGCATCTTCTGTCTGGTCTTCTCATTCACTGAGCTCAGGTTCCTGGGGACAGCAGGGTGACAGGTTAGAGACAGGATAGGCAAACATAAATCAGAGTACAAAGAACTGACATTTATCAAAGAGCTGACGTGTGTTAAAGAGCTGATGTGTCAAAGAGCTGACATGTCAATGAACTGACATGCCAATGAACTTGTCGTGTCAAAGAGCTGACATCTGTCAAAGAGCTGGCATGTCAATGAACTGACGTGTGTCAAAGAGCTAACATGGGTCAAAGAGCTGACATGAGACAAAGAGCTGATGTGTCAAAGAGCTGACATGTCAGAGCTGACGTGTGTCAAAGAGCTAACATGGGTCAAAAAGCTGACATGGGACAAAGAGCTGACGTGTCAATGAACTGACGTGTGTCAAAGAGCTAACATGGGTCAAAGAGCTGACATGAGACAAAGAGCTGACATGGGACAAAGAGCTGACATGTCAGAACTGACGTGTGTCAAAGAGCTAACATGGGTCGAAGAGCTGACATGAGACAAAGAGCTGACATGGGACAAATAATAATAATAATAATAATCCATTTAGCAGACGCTTTTATCCAAAGCGACTTACAGTCATGCGTGCATACAATTTTGTGTATGGGTGGTCCCAGGGATCGAACCCACTACCTTGGCGTTACAAGCGCCATGCTCTACCAGCTGAGCTACAGAGGACCACAAAGAGCTGACGTGTCAAAGAGCTGACGTGTCAATGAACTGACGTGTGTCAAAGAGCCAACATGGGACAAAGAGCCGACGTGTCAATGAACTGACGTGTGTCAAAGAGCTGATGTGTCAATGAACTGATGTGTATCAAAGAGCTGACGTGTTAAAGAGCTGACGTGTCGATGAACTGACATGGGTCAAAGAGCTGACGTGTTTAAAGAGCTGACATGCCAAGCTAGTGCATGTAACAACAGTGTCCTTAGACAGAGGGGGAGGAGGAGCTTGAGGAGAAGATGAAGGCTGTACTATACTGTAGTGTAGTGTTCTGTATGTTAGTGTTCCATAATATAGTAAACTTTACTGTAGTATAACTGCAGTACTGTACTGTACCTGAGACATGCAGTGCTGTTGTAGAATATACTGTACTATACTGTACTGTACTACACTGTACTATACTGTACTATACTGTACTATACTGTACTATACTGTACTATAATTTACTATAGTGTACTATACTATACTGTACTATAGTGTACTATAGTTCACTGTACTGTACTATAGTGTACTATAGTGTACTATAGTGTACTAAAGTGTACTGTACTATACTGTACTATAGTGTACTGTACTATACTGTGTATAGTGTACTGTACTACACTGTACTATAGTGTACTATAGTGTACTGTACTATAGTATACTATAGTGTACTGTACTATACTATAGTGTACTGTACTATACTATAGTGTACTGTACTATACTGGGCTCCCGAGTGCCGCAGCGGTCTAAGGCACTGCATCTCAGTGCTTGAGGCGTCACTACAGACCCCCTGGTTCGATTCCAGGCTGTATCACAACCCGGCCGTGATTGGGGAGTCCCATAGGGCGGCGCACAATTGGCCCGGCGTCGTCCGGGTTTGGCCGGTGTAGGCCGTCATTGTAAATAAGAATTTGTTCTTAACTGACTTGCCTAGTTAAATAAAGAAAATAAAATAAAATAAAATACTGTACAATACTGTACTGTACTATACTGTACTGTACTATACTGTACTACAGTGTACTATACTATACTGTACTATAGTGTACTGTACTATACTGTACTATACTGTACTATACTGTACTATACTGTACTGTACTATACTGTACTATACTGTACTATACTGTATTGTACCATACTGTACTATACTGTACTGTACTATACTGTACTATACTGTACTATACTGTACTATAGTGTACTGTACTGTACTATACTGTACTATAGTGTACTGTACTGTACTGTACTATACTGTACTATAGTGTACTGTACCTGAGACATCCGGTGGTATTGTAGAAGATGTCAACCTCGGAGGGGCTCTGCTGGATGACCTCAGAGTCTCCGCTGCCTGACAGTGGGATCAGGATCTTCTCTGTGAGCTCAGCTAGCGTCTCCTTGGCTAGTTTCTCCTTCAGGTTGTCTTTGGATGACAGGTTCCACAGAATACCTGACAGAAAAACCCAGAGAGAGAGAGATGCTCAGTAGAGTGGTCATCTCTACACAGTGGCTCACAAACACATAATAAAAAGGCATTTTACATGCAGTACAGCCAGACAGCAGAATTTGAATGATTTTGTATGGCAGTTTGCTAAACCTATGACTAGCCCAGTGCCGGATTACCGAATGGGCACGCAGGGCATGTGCCCCGGGGCCCCCGACCTCCAGGGAGCCCCCAACCCCCAGACAGTACAGTGCCTCAGGGCCCCAAATGCGGTAGTCCGGCCCTGCCTCAACCCTAACCTCACCCCCTCAAATCCTAACCTCACCCCCTCAAATCCTAACCTCACCCCCTCAACCCTAACCTTACATTTTGCAATTTGAAAGCAGTTTTGATGGCCACTGTTAAAAGAGGAGGAACCACAGAGCTTTCTAGTGTTTCTAGGCTATACGTACTTCTCAAGTCCCCCAAGATGTGTGAAATGCATTAATTTCAGAACCAGAGTTTTTTTTAGCAGCATTATGGTTTATGTGTGCTAGCGCTGCCCAATGTCGCCAACTGAGTAGGGTAGACCGGGGCTAAATGTAACATGGGTCAGGTGTAACATATAGACCTACATTATATTCGCAGTAACCTACATGATCCTTGGTTGGCTTGAGTGCCAGTGGAAAGTGGTTTTTGGGGACGTTCCTGTCGACCTTTATAGAGTTTGTGATCTAGCTAGCTAATGGTTAGCGCAGTGGGGTAAATGCAGATGGGCAACCCTCAGCCTATTTATTTCTAGCCACTATGCTGCATCAGGTGGGCTACATCAGGTGGGCTGCATCAGGTGGGCTACATCAGGTGATAATGCTTATTGCTGAATAGCACACCTGACTGATAATATGGACCAATATGTTAATGGAATTATTTCTGGAGGGGGACATTAGCGAGTCGCTAACCTTGTTCAGTCACGTTAGAGCAGCAGCTAGCTAGCTAACAACCCGGTAACCACAGATTAAAGTTATCACACTCTTTGTGGTAATTTATCAGTAGTATGAAAACCACTTAGTGACACAAACAGAAAGGAAAAGGCCACATTGTCAGCTATATCGCAATCTTAAACCCTGTATTTTGTAATTGCTACGCAATTCGTATCATTACTACCTCTACTATTGTTCATTGTGCTCCTAAATTTATTTGTTTGCTCCCAAAAAATTATACTTAGGAGCACATGTCAGCATAGAGCCCTACATTGTACCTGAGAGATTGACAGAGTGCTTAGTCTCTCAGGAAAGTTTGACTTACTATGACTGCTATCTGCGGTTGTCTTACCTAGCTACACTACCAGTCAAAAGTTTGGACACACCTACTCATTCAAGGGTTTTTCTTTATTTTAAATATTTTTTTTATATTGTAGAATAAGAGTGAAGACATCAAAACTATGAAATAACACATATGGTTGAGAGAATGCCAAGAGTGTGCAAAGCTGTCATCAAGGCAAAGGGTGGCTATTTGAAGAATCTCAAATGTAAAATATATTTTGATTTGTTTAACACTTCTTTTAGTTACTACATGATTCCATATGCGTTATTTCATAGTTTCGATGTCTTCGCTATTATTCTACAATGTAGAAAATAGTAAAAAATTATGAAAAACCCTTGAATGAGTAGATGTTCTAAAACTTTTTAAACCGGTAGTGTAGCTCCAGATGAACGTCAGTCTCTCTGGATAAGAGTCTCTGCTAAATGACTAACATGTGTTAAAAATATAAAACGTCGTACCTGTGATGTTCTTCCGTAGCTCGTCGTCATTCTCCTTCAGAGCCTCTATGAGTTGTGGGATCCCTCCCGCCTCGATGAGGGCCATCTTGTTGTCCATGTTCTCGTAGATGAGGTTCCTGGTGGCGCCCGTGGCGTAGCGAGCCACCTCCTGGTTCTCACTGTTGAACAGCCTCACCAGCTCTGGGATGCCCTTATAGCGGTGTATCTTGTGGTGGGAGAGAGGAACAACTCTGTAAGGTTCGGACTCATTCTGAATCCCAAAGTGACCCCCTAGCCTCTGTTCCCTAGGGCACTCCTGTATTTCTGAAATGATTAGATCGATATCAAAAGGCAAGGTGAAGGTGAAGCAACTGCCATATTGCTTAAAGCTGTCCAATATTTTCAGATTTACAAGACCTAGGGCTTAATTTAGAATCCAGAATCAATGCCCTGTTACCCCAGCAACAAGAGACCACAAACATAATCTCTATTCCTGCTAGTTCACAGAACCACAGCTGAAAAAAATATATGTGTGACACTGACAAGCTGCCTACAAGCTACCTGTCTGTGACAAAATACTTCAAACAAAATGGTGTCTGTCACTTCAACAAGACAACATCCTTTTAGAATTACTTAGATCACATGAATGTCTGCTGAACTATGACATTAATGATAAGCATATTGGCCAAGATTGACAGTTGGCACACCTGGAGCATGTCAATGTGTCGATACACCTGGAGCGTGTCAATGTGTCGATACACCTGGAGCGTGTCAATGTGTCGATACACCTGGAGCGTGTCAATGTGTCGATACACCTGGAGCGTGTCAATGTGTCGATACACCTGGAGCGTGTCAATGTGTCGATAGACTTGGAGCGTGTCAATGTGTCGATACACCTGGAGCGTGTCAATGTGTCGATACACCTGGAGCGTGTCAATGTGTCGATACACCTGGAGCGTGTCAATGTGTCGATACACCTGGAGCGTTTCAATGTGTCGATAGACAATAGTTCTTTATGCAACTCCACTTCTATTAGTCCTTATTATTATGTTAATAACATTCGCACACCGACTGGGACGCATTATTTGACATGGGAAACATCATAAGAAGGAAGTACCAGAGAAACAGAGATGGTGACTGCAGAATGTAAAGGAAGTCCCTTGTTACCTCGTTCTTGGCCTCAGTGTTGTTGTAACACTCGTGTTGGATATAAGCTGCTCCCAGAACCTGCAGGTCAGCATCCCCCTCAATCAGGTACCTCACCGCCTTAGGCATGTCCAGGCTATTGATCCTGTACAATCAGAAAGCTCAATCAATCAATCAATCAATCACATTCGGTTATGTTTCGGTTATTGATTATGTTTCCTCGCCGTACAAATTGGCAAAAGAAAATTGTCCTTTATCCATTTTCTATTACTTCCTGACTGTGTAGTTTTCGTTTCGATAACTGAGTGAAGAGACTATAGATGTAGGTCCATTATCATTTTATACACAGTTTCAATTTGGTTTTAGCTCTTTTCAATGTCAAAGTTTTTCCCTAAAAAAAAACCTTTGTGGGCCAGATTGAATGGGCCATATGTTTGACACCCTGCTCTATAGGGACACATATAAAACAAAGTATAGTCCTGGAATGAAAAGCAAAATCTACTCAATCGATAATCACCATTGAAATAGCTTTTTAGTCCTGTTTTCCGGGAAACTGTCCCTCTAGGTGGGGTTGTAAGTAAATTCCATTTAAATTACAGTCAAATTCAAGAAGTACCACTGAAATTCCAAAATCCAATTATCTTCAATTTCTTTCTAAAAATTTGCTGGGAATTCAAATGGAGTTGACCCAAACCCTGGTGCATGATTAGGCTAAATGAGGTAATACATCGCCAGTCCAGCTGACCAGCCAGGTCAACATGATTCACAGGTTTCACTCCCATGGTATAATCCTGTGCCTGTGTGAATGTTAACCAAGCTAACGTTAACACACTGTGGGTTTTTCCATCTGCTGTGCTAACCGCTAGGCGCCGGCTGTTTGTGTGTGAAATGTGAAGCCTGATGAAACTCATGGGTGCCACACCCAAACCAGTCCTGCCACTACAGGGGGCCACCTCAGAATCTACAGCTCTTGGGAAAGAGACATTTCCCATCATCACAGAGCCGGAATAGCAAAACCAGACAAAAAGTTGGTCACACACCCCTGGTCCGCACAATGTACACGCTCAATGGGTGCCAGACCTGCCCGTGCACCTAGGACAACAGGTCCCTGCGCAACGGGAGTTGCCACGGGTCCCCGACTAAAAGGCAAATGATCTCCGCGAACCGAGGTCGTTTGGGCCACGGTGAGCCACAAGGATCAACAACGACAAGCCCTCCAGACGCACCCTCTCCAGCGTGGGCTGAATGAGGTCCACAGGGGAAACGTGTAAAGGAGGGTCCAAGGCCACTGGTGCGTGAGAGCAGCCATTCCCAACGGAGCAGTCAGGTCCCTTATCGAGAAAAACAGCCGACAATGCGCCTTTTCTCGCGATGGGTAAAGATCTACGTTGGCCCTGCCGAACATTTCCCATGTCTAGGAGACCCCGAGAACGGAGCCCCCCCCCCCCCCCCCCCCCGGATAGCAGATCCACACCCGTGTTGAGGTGCCCGGGGAGATGCGTCGCCCAGAGCAAGGGAAAATGCGCAGTAGTGAGCGAGCCAAGGACAAGAGGGGGCGAGACAAACCCTTCCTTGTCTGTTGATATATACCACCACTGTCCTGCTGTCAGTCCGCACCTGCTGGCCTGCCAACAACAAGAGGAAATGCCTGAGCACTGTGTACACCGCCGACAAGCTCCAGGTGCCACCTGTTCCCTCGACTCCGCTACCACCAGCCAATTGTCCAGGTTGTCCAATATCCTGAGCCCCTGACACCGCATAGGCTCCACAATTTTGGTGAAAGTGCAAGGCGAGAGGGAAAGCCCAAACGGGAGTACCAGAAACTTGTGGGCTACAGCCTTGAACATTTAACCTCAGGAACTTCCTGTGAAGGGATATATGGCCACGTGAAAGTACGTGTCCTTCAGGTCGATGGAGGAGAACCAAATCGTGAGCATTCGGAATTTGTAGACCCTGAAGTGCTTGTTTAGTGCACGCAGGTCTAAAATGGGATACAAAGATCCGCCCCCTTCTGGGAACCAGGAAATACCAGCTGTACCAGCCGTCCTAGGCCTCTGACATAGGAACCACAACGAATTGTAGCCTGTACCCCGATGTCACTGTTTGCGTAATCCAGGGCGACACTGCACATGCGCGCCATTGGTCGACACAGACAGCGATCCTCCCGTAAAGTGTCATCTGAAGGGGTGGAACGCCACCTTGTGGCAGAATTTGGTAATTCTTTCATGCCTTTTTTTCCATTTCCACCATTCTTGACAACCGAGTGTCTGACTGTGGGGAAGGGACTCTTTTTTATTCAGCTCACATATAGGGCACACCACTCCACACCCGTGAACACCGTGGAACTTGGGGTTAGAAACAATGTGTTTATGTGCCAACGTTTTCCTCAAGCGCGGGTCCACTCTGGGCTCAGGGGCTTCGGCTACCAGTCACATACCCCGATTGGCCGTGGTACTTGGGGGTACTGTTGTCTCAGCAAACATCTGGTGAGGGGGGCAAGGAGAGACCCCAGGTCGTGCCACCTACCGTCTCATCGCGCTAGGTGCGCAGGGGCTGCATGCACTAAAATTAGACCCAGGAAAACATTTTTATAATAGAGGTTATCATTCCCACCAGTCATAGGTACCGGTGACACCGCACCTTGTAACCCAGCTGGAAAAGGGCCAGACAGCGTTGAAAAACTGACCCCATCTGTGATAACAGACAATTCGTAATTGAATCCAATTCCCAGAAACGAAATGCGTTGAGCAGGAGACAGACAGCTCATCTTGGAGTTCATATGAACCACAGACTTTGTTAGCATGATAATAACCTTGCATCACTAAGCACCTTATAGGGACCAGGGTGGAATCAGCAATGAATCCCAGTAATAAGCTATATGTGTGGGAGGGCTGCCCCCTTGTGGACAGAGAGCGCCTGATACCGTAAAGCCCGCCTAAATCCCGGCCGTTTTATAGGCAAAGGAGCTCCAGCAATGTAGTACCCCGGTCGGCCATAGCCAAACACAGTGGCACTGTTTTCACAATACTGTATGCTAGCCGTTGTCAGCCATGCGGCTTCTCATTATCCCCGCGGGCTAGCACTAGCCAAGCCCACTGGCAGCACAGAGCTAGCCAAAGAAAACTGAGTTGCGTCTTCCTTCGGTCTCGGGAATCTCTCTGACCGCAGCACGGTCCGTTTAGAATAACCAAGCGACTAAACGCTACGTATGCTAAATGAGAGAGCTACACAAATAATTCCACCGTGGAAGGCCAGGAATCGCCAGTGGCAGTACGTTAGCTAACCTTAGCAGTACGTTAGCACGCAGTTTGGCTAGCCTGATCCCGTCCGGATAAGACCGGATCACCGACCAAGTCTGGGAAGAGGTAAACGGTGCTTGACCGAGACAGGCACAGGCAGGGGTCCCCCCGGAGTTCGGTCCCCCTAGATAGTATATGAACACATCATAAGTCATGACATTTTACTTTTATAATTAAAGGAAATTAGCTTTAGAAATGCAAAATTTGCTCTCAGCCTCTTGGCAAAATAGCAGGAAATTAGCTCTAAAACAGCTAAACTGTGGTACACCACTGTGAAAGGGACCAACCTTTGGACTTAAAGTGATGCTTCACTATCCCTTTAAGCTCTGTGAAACCCCTTAAAGAGATTATCCGGTACTTTTGCATACTTTTTAGCCAGTAGTTCTGAAAGTAGCGCTCATGAGCCAAAAGTGGTCCCCGAAAACAGCGTACTATGTCACATATATGCAGATATGTGCACCACGTCATTTCCCTCTGCCTCTTTGCTATGTCCACTGAGCCATTGGGCCCGCCCTGCAACCTCATTGGATAACGCTGGGCAGGCCTCTTGCTAGCTGTCACTCAAATGCTAGGGGCTGAAGCTCATTGGCAAGAACTCAAATTGCAAGGGGGCTGGCCCACGTGGGGGGAAATGTAGCAAAATGGCGCGGCATAACTTCAAGAAAAGAGTCGCTTTCAAGCTAGGGATTTCGTGGCTAATTGAGGGAAGAAAGTAATTATGCTCATGGATTATGCATGTATGAACTACACATTGACACATCCAGCCCAAACTGGGAGGTTAAAAAAAAATACTTTCAAAGTACCGGAGCATGTTTTAACACACTGTTGTAATGAAAATGTCTGCAACAAATAGTGTCGTAGACCTATATGTAACAAGTGTCGCTATCTTTACCACAGAATCGACCTGCTCTTTGGTTACGGACGGACGGAGCAGGTTCACTCTGAGCTTTTTCTCTATATTTATGTAATAACATGTTCATCCTTGCTTCAGGCAATATACCAACCCAAATGTCATTCTAATGCACACATTCTAATGCACACATTCTAATGCACACATTCTAATGTCACACGTTCTAATGTCACACATTCTAATGCACACATTCTAATGTCACACATTCTAATGCACACATTCTAAAAAAAAATCTGCTTTCCCTGAGGCTCATGTATTTGGATTGACCAGATTCTTAAAGGAATGTGGGGTGAGAATGTTCATACTATATCTCAACTTGTTCAGTAGTATTACAACCAGCATTGGAGAGGAAGTGTTGACCATACTGTATCATTTGAGACTTTTAACCCCTCTGATATTCCTAACCACTAAAATGTAAGAAGTATCAGATAACTGTGTATTAGTGGTGAGTTTAGCCCGTGTGGGTGAGATTGGGAGTTAAAACATGAGAAACTACCCACTTTCCTTTTCAGGCATAATCCCAAAATAATAATCATGATCATGGCTCGCTCGTGCACTGGTTTAAAGCAACGATATAGGAGTGTTTTAAAACTCTGCAGCCGCAACAAAAAAAAAAAAAATCTTTACAATAAAAAAATAAGGTGACCCCGAAAGCCAGATGGAGATGGGTAAATTAGGCTATGCTGCAGAAAATGTAGGTCTACCTGTCACAAGAAAAAAAAAGTTACCATGATGATTTAGACATCTCATATAATTTAACAGTTCCATTTCACGCCATGCTGTTCATATAAATAATTTATTCTAATTTACCAGTTTCTCTCGCAATTATTTATCCCGGTAAAAGGGAGTGGTTTTGGGCGGTAAATCCCCGGGTAAATCTCGGTAACCGGGTTCCCGATATTCGACCCTAGTATCCAGTCCTCACCCGCTGAGGTTGCCCATGCTGCCAGTCATGTCCATCTGTCTGTCGTAGATATCCATGCCCTTCCCGACACTGTGCATGCTCTTGACGGACATCGTCCTGGGCAGAGTGGCCTGTCTCTGCTGTTGCATTATCATCAGATTTCCCTGAGACCCAGACGACATCTAATAACAATGCATCATATTCAATTATAATAATACATTCGTAAATTGTATAGCGCTTTTTCATTATATATCAAAGCTCTACTCAAGCAAAAAAAAAGAAGAATAAAAGAAGAATCAAAACTAATACGACATTAAAAACAACATACATTTACAATCATGGCAGATAAAATAGCAATATTGGGCTAAATGCTGAGAATTCTCTCAGATTAGGCCTGGCCCATCACGGGGCTACGTGTCCTCACCTCTCAGAGTTGTTGTATTATTGTTGTCTCATAGTGTATTCATTTAGTCTATTCCGTTTGCTTGCTGACCTCACATAACAAATGTCCATGCAAATGGCCAATAAACTTATCGCAATAGCAATCCTCACCTGGCCCATCATGAACCCTCCCCCTCCACCGCCGTAGTTGCTCCCCCCAGAGTGGAGGGTGGAAGCCCTGGACATGACGAAGCCTCCCCCTCCACCGCCGTAGCTGCTTCCCCCTGAGGGGAGGGTGGAAGCCCCGGACATGGAGCCCATGGACATCCTGTTGTTCCTGTTGTTGATTCTGCTGATGGTGCGGTACGCTGGCCCTTTAAAGGAATGCTGCTGCTGTACCGTCATCATATCCTCTCCTCCCTACCGGAAATGGAAATGTTCATTTAAAAAAAAAAAAAGTGCTGTAAATATTAGAATAATTATATTGTAACACAAATTAAATTTTAACATGTTAAAAATGAATTAGTGGAGAAAAAAAAAAAACTTGCTTTCACAAACACCTGAAAAGCTAATTTGGACGGAGTGCATTATTTGTTCCGAAATACATTTCAAATGTATTGGAAATAGGATAACAACTCATTTTCACATGCCATGGAACATATAAGAATTGCAAACGGAATGTGTTAATCTTAAGCTCCACCAACCATACTCATTGGGGCTTGGAAGACCATGGACCCTCCTCCTCCTCCTACCTGTCTCATCTGGGTCCCTGAGCTGTAGGCTCCTCCATTGACGGTGCTGTAGACAGACTGCTGGCGCCTGAAGGTGGCGTCGCGGTCCGAGACCAGGCTGCCCCCATCACTGCAGTCCGCAGCCACCCAGGCTGCCACTGGGGACGGCTGAAACAAGAATCAGAAAGAGTCAGAATCAGAGAACATCAACATCAATACAGACAGAGAACATCAACATCAATACAGACAGAGAACATCAACATCAATACAGACAGAGAACATCAACATCAATACCACATCAATACAGACAGAGAACATCAACATCAATACAGACAGAGAACATCAACATCAATACAGACAGAGAACATCAACATCAATACCACATCAATACAGACAGAGAACACCAACATCAATACAGACAGAGAACACCAACATCAATACAGACAGAGAACATCAACATCAATACCACATCAATACAGACAGAGAACATCAACATCAATACCACATCAATACAGACAGAGAACATCAACATCAATACCACATCAATACAGACAGAGAACATCAACATCAATACAGACAGAGAACATCAACATCAATACCACATCAATACAGACAGAGAACATCAACATCAATACAGATAGAGAACATCAACATCAATACAGACATACAAAACAACACTTGAAAGAAAAACCTTACGTTGACATTGACACAATACACACAGAACACATAGTAGAGTGTATCTAAACTCAGATACCTGAGCGGGCAGGTTCTGGAGCCTCACGGAGCGCAGGGACATGGTCTCTAGGTCTGGGCCGGGAGCACAGCTCATCGCCCGGGTCATCTGTTGCCTCATGGCCCCTCCTCCTCCAACCTGGTAGAACAGAGTTCATCAGCACACTGGTATACATTCAGTATTAACATATGCCCCCCCAAAAAAATAACGGTGCCTTTATTCAGCTGTCCAAAAGTATTTGAATGGTAGTGGAAGAATTATACAGTACATAGAATACAGTAACTCATTAACATGGTACCTGGTATCCCCCTCCTCCCTGGTAGCCCCCTTCTCCTTGGTATCCTCCTCCTCCCTGGTAGCCCCCTTCTCCCTGGTATCCCCCTCCTCCCTGGTAGCCCCCTTCTCCCTGGTAGCCCCCGCTCAGACTCATGTTATCGTGGTACTGGTATGCTCCTCCTCCTCCTCCACCTCCTCCTCCTCCTCCTCCACTCCCCATTGCGACCCTCTGACCACCACTCAGATCCACCGCAGAGCGGGAGGAGAAACCGCCAGAGTACTGAGCCACCCTGGGTGCCTGGGACAGGGGGGAGAAGAAGAAGAAGAAGATTTTATTGTATATTTTCCTTTAAGTCCATGGAAATGAGTATTTTTGCTTTTAACCAACCCCAGAGACACAGACTGTAACCCCCCCACACCCTCCCAGTAGATAGGGGTTAAGTGCCTTGCTCAAGGGCACTATGGCAGGATGAAAGGCATGGTGAATCCTTATTACTACGCAGTAGTGAAGGTCTGGGTGGGGTGATCAATAATGACGAGAGATCAGGATGGCTTCCAGAGTATGACATGTTTTATTGACAAAGACAAGCTGAGACATGCCAGGCACCCCGGGAGAAAACTCTAGTACAGATCTCAATAAACTGGTAGACCATATTTGGCTTCCAGGTGACGAACTTCAACATTCCATCAGTATTGTTGACATGTGACCACAGATACCGTTCCATCTTGTCAGTGGCTGGAGTGTACAACAGCGCCTTCTCTCTCGACCTTGGAAGGAAACCCTCCCTGACTTAGACTCAATGGATTCTTAGAAAGATTGAATTATTTTCAGAAACCACCTGCAGCATGTTATCTATGATAACAGCCAGAGAAAGAATTTGTTTTTTTTTTCGAAGGCCAGAGGCACATTTCTATACTGTATGTTGAGAATGAACAAATCACTGTGGTCTAACTCTATATGTCTACTGCTTAATGCAAATCACTATGACCCCGCCTCTATGACCCCGCCTCTATGACCCCGCCTCTATTATACTCTGCAGCGCGGGCACCAAACTCTGACCTATGACCTTTCCAAACCCTTCAGCACATACTGTAAATGCTATGAGTCACTGTCATAAAAGGGAGTGGTTCATTTCTATGGACTAGTGTTGACACAAGTAAAAAGTCTGTGTACCTACATTGTGAAAAAGCTCATTGTAAAGTCATGGGAAATTGTTGAGTTTAGATTTTTTTTGCAGTCAACAAGGCCACTATATGTCACGAATTCAGCCGAGGCTGCCCCCTCCTCCTTGCTCGGGGCAGGTTTCGGCGTTCGTCGTCACAGGCTTACTAGCCCACTACCGCTCCATTTATCATCACTCCATTTGTCTTGTCTTGTCTTGTCTTGTCAATCACACACACCTGGTACTCATTCCCTCATTAGTCTGTGTATAAGTGTTCCCTCTGCCCCCCTTGTCCTCTGTGAGTGATTGTTCATTGTGAGAGTGAGTAACTCGGTTGAGCTACTCTTTCCTTGAATGTAGCCAAGGTGGATTTTTCCCTTGTGCTAGTTTCGTTTTGACGCTTGCTGCACTTTATTCATGTAACACTGAATAAACTCTGGATTTCAGTGTTTTTACCTCCTGTACTTGTTTTACCTCCTGCGCCTGACTCCGTCATTCACACCTCGTCACACTATAAGGGAGTATTTTATGCTGTTACCGTCACCGTGTAATTTGAATCATTTTCTTACTGTATATATTCTACTGTATGTACCACAGGAGGCTGGTGACACCTTAATTGGGGAGGACGGGCTCGTGGTAATGGCTGGAGCGGAATCAGTGGAATGGTATCAAATATTAAAATACATCAAACACATGGTTTCCATGTGTTTGATGCCGTTCCACTGGCTCCGATCCAGACATTATTATGAGCCGTCCTCCCCTCAGGAGCCTCCACTGGTATGTACTGTATATTTGCTGAATCTAAAAACACAATATACGTCTGGTAAAATATTACATTAATTAAATGAATGAATGTATCAATGGCAAGTTTATTCAACAATGTCATTGCGTAATGGTGTCATCGTCTAATGATATCTGCTATGCTAACGTGAGGTGGAAACATTCTGACTGTGAGATGTGGAGGAATCTGGAGGGTGGAAATATTCTGACTGTGAGATGTGGAGGAATCTGGAGGGTGGACTTTAGATCCTGGAGAGAGTGGTGGAGAGCCGCTGTGAAATACCACACTTCCAGAGCCCAGAGAAGACCTAGCTCAATGGCTCCGGCACACTGCACTGTGAAACCCTCCCACTGTGTCATAGACGACTGTATTTACAGGGAGCTGCAGAGAGCAGACACAGAGTTTACGCTGCATATTTTGATGTAGACAGACACTGTCTATAATATATCTTTATTGGAGACAACCCTTAGGTCTGCAGGGCTCTTTTAACCATCTGCTAAACATATTATCTGATACCCAGAAACCATTGGATGTGTAATGGAAGCAATATTTTCCTAAGATTCAGTATGTAAGATTATACTGTATGTTTTGGTAGGCCGATATTGTTCAGAATACCTTTATAATACCTGGGTAGAACTCACCATGACAGGTCTGGAGGATGTGTAGACGTAGGACTTGGAGCTGAACCCTGGGTTGAAGGTCTGGTACTTCATCGTTGAAGAACCGCCGTATTCTACGAAACAAAAGAGAGGGAAAATCTGAAAATGTCATGAATCAGCATGAACCTAAGCCTGATCCAATCTAAAGACAACACTAAGGAAAGAACCTGAAACCTAAGCCTGATCCAATCTAAAGCCAACACTAAGGAAAAACCTGAAACCTAAGCCTGATCCAATCTAAAGACAACACTAAGGAAGGACCTGAAACCTAAGCCTGATCCAATCTAAAGACAACACTAAGGAAAAACCTGAAACCTAAGCCTGATCCAATCTAAAGACAACACTAAGGAAGGACCTGAAACCTAAGCCTGATCCAATCTAAAGACAACACTAAGGAAGGACCTGAAACCTAAGCCTGATCCAATCTAAAGACAACACTAAGGAAGGACCTAAAACATCAAACCAAAACAATGAGACCTTGTATTTTTCGCCACCACCACACACAAAATAAACATCGACATGGCTTTGACATAACTACTTTAATGATATGGGATATGGCTTTAACATAACTACTTTAATGATATGGGATATGGCTTTGACATAACTACTTTAATGATATGGGAAATGGCTTTGACATAACTACTTTAATGATATGGGAAATGGCTTTGACATAACTACTTTAATGATATGGGATATGGCATTGACATTACTAGTTTAATGAAATGGGACATGGCATTGACATAACGACTTTAATGACATGGGACATGGCTTTGACATAACGACTTTAATGACATGGGACATGGCATTGTAAAACTTGTATGACTGGATATTGTACTTACTGGTCCAAGGTCCACTGTGGTTAGAACTGTAATTCCCTTCATAAAGTAGTTATTATTTAGGCAGGTGTTGTTGATAACACACTATAGCTACATTATATATAGCAGAGATAGTACAGAGCAGAGATAGTACAGAGTAGAGATAGTACAGAGCAGAGATAGTACAGAGCAGAGATAGTACAGAGCAGAGATAGTACAGAGCAGAGATAGTACAGAGCAGAGATAGTACAGAGCAGAGATAGTACAGAGTAGAGATAGTACAGAGCAGAGATAGTACAGAGCAGAGATAGTACAGAGCAGAGATAGTACAGAGTAGAGATAGTACAGAGCAGAGATAGTACAGAGCAGAGATAGTACAGAGCAGAGATAGTACAGAGTAGAGATAGTACAGAGTAGAGATAGTACAGAGCAGAGATAGTACAGAGTAGAGATAGTACAGAGCAGAGATAGTAAAGAGTAGAGATAGTACAGAGCAGAGATAGTACAGAGCAGAGATAGTACAGAGTAGAGATAGTACAGAGCAGAGATAGTACAGAGTAGAGATAGTACAGAGCAGAGATAGTACAGAGCAGAGATAGTACAGAGCAGAGATAGTACAGAGTAGAGATAGTACAGAGCAGAGATAGTACAGAGCTAGAGATAGTACAGAGTAGAGATAGTACAGAGCAGAGATATTACAGAGCAGAGATAGTACAGAGTAGAGATAGTACAGAGTAGAGATAAGGGAATATCTTGTCATAATAACACTGGGAGCTACAAAGGTGACACTCATCCAGAGTTACCTTGTATTGTAAACTAACTAACTAGGCCCGAAGCATACATTATACAAGACCAACAACTCATGTTCCTGTTTACACACACACACACGCACACACACACACACAACACACCACACACACAACACACACACACACACACACACACACACACACACACTCTCTCTCTCTCACACACACACACACACACACACACACACACACACACACACCACCCCTCACCAAAACATATGATCAGCTATTTTGACCTCCTTATTGGTTACCCTCTACTACAGGCAGAAGGACAACAATATTTACTATATACAGTGAGGGAAAAAAGTATTTGATCCCCTGCTGATTTTGTACGTTTGCCCACTGACAAAGAAATGATTAGTCTATAATTTTAATGGTAGGTTTATTTGAACAGTGAGAGACAGAATAACAACAACAAAATCCAGAAAAACGCATGTCAAAAATGTTATAAATTGATTTGCATTTTAATGAGGGAAATAAGTATTTGACCCCCTCTCAATCAGAAAGATTTCTGGCTCCCAGGTGTCTTTTATACAGGTAACGAGCTGAGATTAGGAGCACACTCTTAAAGGGAGTGCTCCTAATCTCAGTTTGTTACCTGTATAAAAGACACCTGTCCACAGAAGCAATCAATCAATCAGATTCCAAACTCTCCACCATGGCCAAGACCAAAGAGCTCTCCAAGGATGTCAGGGACAAGATTGTAGACCTACGCAAGGCTGGAATGGGCTACAAGACCATCGCCAAGCAGCTTGGTGAGAAGGTGACAACAGTTGGTGTGATTATTCGCAAATGGAAGAAACACAAAATAACTGTCAATCTCCCTCGGCCTGGGGCTCCATGCAAGATCTCACCTCGTGGAGTTGCAATGATCATGAGAACGGTGAGGAATCAGCCCAGAACTACACGGGAGGATCTTGTCAATGATCTCAAGGCAGCTGGGACCATAGTCACCAAGAAAACAATTGGTAACACACTACACCGTGAAGGACTGAAAACCTGCAGTGCCCGCAAGGTCCCCCTGCTCAAGGAAGCACATATACAGGCCCGTCTGAAGTTTGCCAATGAACATCTGAATGATTCAGAGGAGAACTGGGTGAAAGTGTTGTGGTCAGATGTGACCAAAATCGAGCTCTTTGGCATCAACTCAACTCGCCGTGTTTGGAGGAGGAGGAATGCTGCCTATGACCCCAAGAACACCATCCCCACCGTCAAACATGGAGGTGGAAACATTATGCTTTGGGGGTGTTTTTCTGCTAAGGGGACAGGACAACTTCACCGCATCAAAGGGACGATGGACGGGCCCATGTACCGTCAAATCTTGGGTGAGAACCTCCTTCCCTCAGCCAGGGCATTGAAAATGGGTCGTGGATGGGTATTCCAGCATGACAATGACCCAAAACACACGGCCAAGGCAACAAAGGAGTGGCTCAAGAAGAAGCACATTCCCTCCTGAGATGTGTGCAAACCTGGTGGCCAACTACAAGAAACGTATGACCTCTGTGATTGCCAACAAGGGTTTTTCCACCAAGTACTAAGTCATGTTTTGCAGAGGGGTCAAATACTTATTTCCCTCATTAAAATGCAAATCAATTTATAACATTTTTGACATTAGTTTTTCTGGATTTTTTTGTTGTTATTCTGTCTCTCACTGTTCAAATAAACCTACCATTAAAATTATAGACTGATCATGTCTTTGTCAGTGGGCAAACGTACAAAATCAGCAGGGGATCAAATACGTTTTTCCCTCACTGTATATAGTAGCTTACATGCACCAACTGGACCTGGGAGCAATTCAAATATGTTTTCTTTCAAACACTTTGAGCGTGTGATTGAGCAAGCTTGTAGCGCCGGAGGTGCAGGATCCTGCAATGGGGCTATTCCACTGGCCGTATTACTCCAGACAATATCAAATAAACCACAGCTAAAATATTTCAAAGAAAACAAAGACTATTTGGACCCAACCCTGCGTCCTCGGGGGAGGGAAATAAACTCTTCATATATAGACTGATAGTACATCCTGTCCTGAGGAAATATGGAATATGTTTGTGAGAACCAGGGAGGGAGCTCTGCAGAAACAACTATGTGATTACGTTTACATTTTTCACATGCTGTGACATGACTGCTTAGATTATAGGGGAGTCATGGACACAGACTGGTCGAAGCAGATCCTTCATTTACCTGGCGTGAGCAAATATTCAACAACATCTCACAGAAATGGTGTAATTGACTTCAGAGTCCAAACTAGCGCCTGGCACTGGGATTGAACCAGCGAGACTCAGAGCCGGATCGCACAGCTTACGCCCATCCACCACCCCTGTCCACAGGTTTTTCACGGTTAAGTTTGGGCATTAATTCCTGAATGGTTAAAGTAAAGATTTACCCATTTTGAATGTTATATTGTTTTTGTGCATCTCTGAGTGATGTTCTATCAATCCCCTGGGTCATTTCATGTTTTCATGTGTATCTGAGTTATTGGCGTTCAAGCAGGCAGAAATCCGTCCGGTATTACATAGTAGCTTACATGCACCAACTGGACCTGGGAGCAATTAGTATTTGTTTTCTTTCAAACACTTTGAGCGTGTGATGTAGCAAGCTTGTAGCGCCGGAGGTGCAGGATCCTGCAATGGGGCTATTCCACTGGCCGTATTACTCCAGACAAGATCAAATAAAGCACAGCTAAAATATTTCAAAAGAAAACAAAGACTATTTGGACCCAACCCTGCGTCCTCGGGGGAGAGACACAGTGACTAAATAAATGTTGCTGTGTAAATACAGCACTGAGAGGCATAGAGAGCAGTGACCTTAGGGTGGTGTGTGTGTGTGTGTGTGTGTGTGTGTGTGTGTGTGTGTGTGTGTGTGTGTGTGTGTGTGTGTGTGTGTGTGTGTGTGTGTGTGTGTGTGTGTGTGGTAACAGAGTCGTGCTAGTGACAGGATCTATGTCAGAAGGAAGTGGTACAGAACAGATTGACTGACCTCTGCAGTTCACTGAAACTGTTATCTGGCTTTACTAGCTGGACAAGGCTGGACGTACAAACGCACGCACGCACACACAGACACACACACACACACACACACACACACACACACACACAGACACACACACACACACACACACACACACACACACACACACACACACACACACACACAGACACACACACGCCTGGTTGACAGAGTTATCTGGCTTTACTGAAACTAGATAACAAGGCCAAATAAAGTTTTCTGTCTCAACAGGCTGTGCAATATTCACATTACAAATACTGTATCTAAAACTAAAACGCTCCATAGAAATGTTCAATAAATACAATATATATGCACATATTGTTATTGTTAATTTTCTAAAACATATATATTTTTATTGTTAATGTTCTAAAACATATATATTTTTTATTGTTAATGTTCTAAAACATATATATTTTTATTGTTAATGTTCTAAAACATATATAT